AACTTTTCGATGTGAATTCAAAGCTTCTCAACTTTTTATTTTTTAATTTTGTGTGACTTTTATGATAAAAGTTTGTGCTCGTGTTTTCTTTTTTATAATTTACTTTGAACTACTTTAAACTATAAACAGTAAATAAAAATCAATAAGTAAACGGGTAGATATTTTATTATTCGAAATTAATCAGGATACAAACTTTTGTAATAGGCAGTTCTTAAATTTGAATTCTATTCTGCTTAGCACAGGGTATTTGAACGCCGAGCAAATGCCTTTAGCTTGCTCACATTGTTGCTGCGCTTGTGTGCGTGTGTGAGTGTTGCCTAAGTGTGCGAGTGTTGTGTGAGTATTGTGTGTGTGAGTGTTTGTTTGCATGACGCTTTGCATTTGAAGTGTACGCAAAGTTTTGTTGTGCATTTGCCACGCTTCTATTTTAAGGAACGTTTCATGTGGCTTTCCCGTGCTGCATGCATGTATGTGTGTATAAGTTTGTGTGTTAAAGCCTTTATGCGTGTATGCGTGTGTGTGTGCGTGTGGTTGTGCTGTGTGTTATGTCAGTTTTACTACCAGGTCCGGAGTCACCCACCTGCTGCTGCCATGGTAATTTTGCGTACGCTTCAGTTGCATTGCGCTGCGCTGAGTTGGACTACGTTGCGTATACGTCATGTATTCGCCGTAACACCAACAAGCTTTCTTTTTTAAACGCTCTGTTGATTCGCGCTCTCAACTGGCAGTCAGGGTCAGCTGCAACTGCAGGTGCCATGGATCCGTCTATATTTTTGGCCCGTGTGCAATTTGCATGGCAGTGCGCTTTTCGTGGTTTTCATTCTATGCAAACAGCAAACAAATCAACTTATTTGCCAACATATTTTTTTTTTGCTAGCTGTATGTGGTCCACTTTTGTGCTCAGTGCTCTTTTTGGGGTGTTTTGGTTAGCTCTTTGCTGGTTAGGTTGGGTTCATGTGAACTATCTGATTGAGTGCAGTGCCGAAGAGCGGTCAGCTCAAAAGTTGATTATAAAATGGCAACCGGATTACAACGAGCACGAAATGCAAAGAGCTGAAAGATATTCACTTCAAGTAAAATTCAATTACGCTTTCCACTTTGCGCTTTGCAAAGCCAAATAGCTGATCAGCATGATTACCATGCGAACTCCATTTAATATTATATATATTCAATTAAACGCAAATTGTTTCCATCGAAAGTGCTTAAATACCATTTTTCTTGCTTTAAAGGAATTTTGTTTAATTGAAATTACTTTCGGATACTTTTTTGGGGCGCTTGGTAAAAGTTCTGGGCAAGCCCCAAGTCAATTAAAAAGTTAAATTAAAATTATTAGCAATGTATGCTCATAATCATCATCATCATCATCATTATCGCCATGGGGCTGCAGATTCCAATCATAAGCCTATCATAATCAAACTCTTGTGAATTTCTGGCTGGCATGTCAGAGTTTCCAAACTGTTGTGAAACGAAATATTTAAAATGTCATATTTAACTGGGTAATTTTAATTAAAATTGTATGCATGTTTTTGAATTGATGGCCTCCGGCTTATGGTTACAAAAAGTTCATTTTTAATTAGAATTGGAAAATTTAATAACTAATATTGTTTAAAATTTGTTTTTACAATATGCACTTAACGATGGCGGACAGAACATGTAAAGAGCATATTTATTTAATTTTATTACAATTTCTATTATTTAGCTCATTTTTTTACAGACAGTTTTATAGAAATGCCACAAATAAATGCTTATATAAATTCTCTAATGGTTAAACTGGGAGATAATTGTGCTTCATTAAGATATAACATATGTACAGAAAATATTTTAAAGGGTTTCCATTCATAAAAGTGAGGAAGATTGTAGGGTTATTATTAGGTTGGATAAACAGATAACAATATTTGAAGAATTGTGCTGGTTCTAATACTCTAATCTTCCTTTGCTAATTCTAAATGATGTCAGAGATGTGGGTGGAACTTCTCCTTGATGAAAAATGTGAAATGTGAAATGTCATTCATTTCAGTCGCAAGTCAAGTTTTTACACAAACACTTAACATTTGCAGCCAATGTAAAGACAATCAACTTAACAATCGATTATCTGGGCAATAGTTTTTCTTCACTTCTTTGCTCAGTGGCTGCTGCATCTATAGATTTATCAACAGCAAAGCAAACATTTCAGCATCAACGCCATGGCTTGGACATGGAGCTGGATTTAACTTTACCAATTCATGTCCAGCCACATAAAGATACATTGACGAGACGAGACGAGGCGAGAGCTTTGTGAATCAAATCTTTAAACTTGCGCCAGCTGCGCGCTTATCGATGCTGCTGCAGGCTCTGCGCTCGCCCGTTTCCTTTTCGCTTTCCACTTGTTTAACGGGACACTCTTCCTGTCGGCCCCCCTTCCTTTCCATTCGTGGCTCCGGGACTGCGCAATAAAGTTTAACGCATTTTTTGCTTCATGCACTTTGCTTCATCATCAATTTTTATTGAAATTGACACTATCTGGACGACAAAGTAGGCGTGGTGGGGGCTGGCTGACAGGGGCAGTGGGTGTGTGTCCCGCGAAATGAATCACTGTAAAATTTTATCAGGGACACTTTTAATGAACAGCAACTCGAGCAGATAAAAAAGTGAGAGCTGCTTCTGTTGCTTCCAGCAGCAGGCCTGCAGGGCGAGAGCTTATAAACTTGCTAATTGGATTAGATTTTGCGATATAAAGTATATTCATTAAGCACTGTTTTCTTCGCTTTATATATTTTTTGTTATATGCTTTTGCGCGTGCAGCTGAGCAAAAATTTGTATTAAAAATTTATTGCCAACTTTTTGCCTTCCCCTTTTTGCACTCGCACTCAGCTTTTGTCCCATTCGCAACCAACTGCTGCAACTTCTACTAATAAGCAATGAGAGTTCACAAAGACATAAAACAAAAGCGAAAAACGAACAGTTAATAAAAGACAGGCAAAAAGACGTAATAACAACAACAGCGACAAATGGCAAGCAGCTGCGACTCTTTGCTGGTGTGAGCGCTCGTGTGTGTGTGTGTGTGTGTGTGTGTGTGTGTGTTTGTGAGATCTTTGAGAGCATTTGTGTGAGTAAAGATGAAAAGATACTCAACTGGTTTTGCTAGCCAATAAACAACAACAACAATGGCGACGACAAGTTACGAAGCCAAGCGAAATGAAAACAAAAGTCAACCGCGCGCAACAAAAGCGTTAAAAGAGAACCGCAACAACAACTGTTACAAAGACAAACCAGTAACTGTAAATGGAAAGAGATAGCAGCATAAAAAGAAAGCATACATTCAAATGCATAAATTGGGCCACTAAGTCAACTCAAAATTGAGTGAAAAATTGTTTGCGTAGCGCTAATGAAATCGAAAGTGGGTGCATTTATTACGTATTGCTTGCCAATAAATATTAGATGAAATTGAATCAATGCGAATGCGGGAATGAGGGAATTAAAAAAGAAATAAGTACAAATGAGATACCCCTCACATTTTACAACCGTACAAAGTAAAAATCATATTTAGCAATAAGTGATGTATAGTAAGTCAAAGTATCTGAAGGAGGAATTCTGGCGCTCAGAGCAAATTACAGCAGGAGCCATAAATATTGCATGAAGGTGAACAGAAATAGGTTTTAGCATTTCACAAGTAAATTGGAGCTGCAATTGCAAACATCCGAAAAAATTATGTTTTCCGAAAAAATCTTAAAAAAGAAAGTGGGAAAGCAAACGCTCAAAGAAAAAGGGTGGACAATTAAGCAATAATTATTGCAAGCTAGGGCTAAATTGTGTACTCTAAGAGAAAAATACTTTGTTTACTTTGGGCGGAGTATCTTGCTAAGGGAACATTAATAGGATTTCATTTAAATATTTCGCTTCATACTTACGGTTTTAATATGTATTATCTTTATGTTGTACTTGCTTTATATTTCTGTATTTATGTACAAAGACTTATCTGTCCAGCTTGTTAAGAAAGTTCATTATATATGCAGCTTCAGTAAATTGACAACCAAAAGATTCACATTTACCCCTAAGAAGACCAAGAAGGCATCCCATCTTATCTGTTTTACGACTGATTTTTAGTACTCATCGTAATGTCAGTCATTATTGTGGCCCTCTTTAATGACTGTCCCATGGCTCATTCATTTTGGCAAAACAAATCTTCAGTAAATTTCATGCTAATGGATGAGTCCGGAGGCAACACAATGGGCTAAACAGTAGGGGCCAATTAATAGGGTAAGGCAACAAAAGTAATTGTAAGCTTCTAATGGATAATAAAATCTGCAAGTTGTTTAATAAGTAAATGACTTTTGAGATGAAATGCTTGGAAACTAAATTCAAAGCTTTGAGGGTAGTTTTATAAGCTTGGACTCGTTGATGTTAAGTACTAATTGAAGCTTAATTGTAGCTAAGACTTAATTTAAGTTTAATCTTAAAGCCGATTGGTTTTAAGAAATAAATGCGAAAAACGTGAATACAAATTTGCGATTATAGGTTCTTCATGAAAAGCTTTGATTAATATAGGCTCGAAGTATAAATGGCATTAGAAGCTTTATTAAACATCAAATCCAGAATTATTTAAGGTAAACAGCTTTATTTTTCTAAAGTTAGTCAAAAGTAAAGTCCAAAAGATTCAAGAATAAATGTTTTAAATACCAGTTAATGAATACAGTAGAGCTTTGTAATATTAAGCTTAGATCCTAATGGCTTTACCGTACAAAAGCTCATTAAAGCTTAGAAAAGATTATAGCTTAAAAATAAAATTTAGACGCAAACAAGTATGGGAATCATATAAGTACGATGAGATATTGATAATGATTTGTACTATCAAAAAACCTGAATATGATTATATACATATATTTAAGCATATTTCGCAGTTTGAGTAGGTTCTTTTCAAATACAACACTTTAGTTAGTTGCTATTAGTGTCTTGTTTTTAGCAAATTGTTACAATGGTTTCATGAAATGACTTTATCTCTACTTCTTACTCTCATTCTGCAGCTGGACATGTGCCGTTGGATGCATAATGGAAACGCGTGTAACAATCATGTAAAATTGCATTCTAGGGAAATGGATGGAAATGGAGCGTGCGGCAAGGAACAGCACATCAAATTGATATTAGAGGTTAACAACTGAATCTTGGGCGTATGGGCGTGGTCAAGCTGTAACCTAACAACATAGCTGCACCGTGGCGCTGCCTGTGGAGCATAAAAGTCAATTAATGTACAATTGCAACAACAATTACAACAATCGCCAGTGAATCCAGCAAACGAGGCGACAGCGAACAGAAGCCAGCCAGAGGCAGGCAACCAACACTCAACACCCCACACTCAACACCCATCATCCATCGCCCCCGCTCGCCACAACGGATAAGCAGCGGAAGCGGCTGGCAACAAAAATTTGTGAAAATTACACGCAGCGTGAGGCTGCGTTCCAGGTTGTGCTTGGAGTGGGTGCGGTCGAGGGACTCGAGTGTGGAGCCAGCAACAAGGCCAGCCCAATACCGAAGCGAACGTCCGGTGGCGGCCACAAAATGACTTTCGTTAACAAGCTGAGCAAAAGCTTCCGCTGGCTGCGCTGCTCGACATTGTGCGCCATTTTGTTTTATATGTTTTTCATTGGCCTCATATTGCACAGCACCAGCCAGAAGCTGCAGCAGCACCAGCAGCACCAGCACCAGCGGGAACAACACAGCTCTGTAGAACAGAGCCAGGCCCAAGCTGAGGCTCAGGCCAAGTCAGCGTCCAATGAGCGCCCTAATGGCCGCGACCAGCAGCAACCTAAGGAGCTGCTGGAGCAAGAAAATCAACAACAACAACAACAACAACAGCAAGAAGAGCATAACCAAAGGCGAAAGTCGCAGTCGCAATCGCAGTCACAGCTAACGAGGAACAATTCAGTTTTGGGTAATGCCAAGGCAAAAGAGCAGCATCAGCGTCGAAAAGTGCAGCCGATAGCTGCTAATAGAGGAGGAGGAGGAGGAGGAGGCGGCGGCGGGAGTGGAAGCGTAACTAGCAAATCAGCCCAGCCGCAGCCCGAAACAGTTATATTAACGGCCAGCAATGTGAACGAGAAGCAAATACTTGCAAAAGCTTTCAAGCGGTAAGTTACGCCTTCGTTCTTTGTCCAGTGGGCGTTCACCCACACCCCTTACATCTCCTAACCCCTCCCCAGCCAAGGTTTCGCTGGTTGTTTGGCTGATAATTTGGTGCTAGTTTGGCGGCTCCTTCATTGTTCACGCACAACGTTGTGCTGTTGCCCGTGGCTATTGTTCACGCTGCGCGGATGTTAGGCAACGTGGGAGTTAAATAGATAGAGTAGAAAAGAGTGGGGTGATAAAGGAGGAGAATGAGAGACACGGCGGCCACAAATGGGGGCCATCACAGTGCGTGCCAGAATTGTGTGTACGACAAATTGTGAAATTTATGGCAACAAGCGAGTGAGCCATGGGTTAGCAGCAGCAGCAGCAGCAGCAGCACTTGATGAATGCTTTGTCCAGGGCTGGGGAATAAAGGTGCTTTTGGGTTCCCCAAATGCGATTTGTTATTTTGAATGATTTTGATTGGACGCTGGATAATCGGATTACAGCCTGTGTTAGGAAGAGGCGGGTAAAGAGAGGCAATCATAATTATTGATTAGAGCAAAATCTCTGCAGGACGTGCTGACACTGTCAAATTGTTCAAAATATAAGTTTGGGAACGAGAATTTTGAGGGCAAATGTACTGCATTTTCTCTATTTTTTATATTTACATTCTGCACACACAAATACTTAGAGATTGCTTGTGCAATCAGTAAAATGCTACGCTGGCATATATCTGAGTATCTGGCGTTTTCTATATATCACTTCGGCTAGCAGCTTATTTATAGCTAGATGAACCACGAGAATTATGAAGGCAGTTAATAACAAGCGATTTTGTCAACATGGCGTATGATTAACGATATTTTAGGTTAGATGTTGCAGCGCTTGCGATTAAACTAGTGTGAACATATATAGTGTATTTCTATCTGAATCAAAGCATTTTGTTATTATAGCAGGCAGTATTTTATGAGAATATGTATGGGTATATTAAAAATAATAACAATTCGAATAGGCAATCATTGACAGCTCTATGTTATTAGATTCTTTCTATCTATGCTATATATAAGTAGGTTTCGATCAAAATATGATCGAAATATAAAGATATGGAGATATGGAGTGTGAGGGTATTCTGTCGATACCTTAAAGAGAAAGAGGACGCAAGAAAAAAGTAAAATAAATAAAATCAAAATAATTTGATATTAATACACACAAATTTTAAATAATTATAATAACGATATAAATCAAAATATAATTATAACAAACAGTAATAATAATATAAATGTAAAAAAATTACAATAAATAATATTAAAACGACAATAACATATAAACGAATACAATAAAGTGAATAGAATAATATTATATTAATAATATTAAATAAATATTACAATATATGTACATGCATATGATAAACAAATCTTAATAATAATAACATTTATATATTAACACTAATTAAAAAAAAATAAATAACAATTATATAAATCAATGTGGCTCCGAAACTCAATACACATATCACTTCTCTGTATACAGCGCAGCCGTAGTTAAAGTCTACACGTTCCAAAGTTTGATAGGTAACATAATGAAATTTTAATTTAATCCGGTCCGTTTAACCCGTTTTTGCAGACCCAATTAAAGCGGCAGTGGGAGAAGGGTCAGCCTGCAATTTAAATTATATTTTTTAGACTTTTTAATATTGCTTTTGTTGACATTCGACCTTTAGTCAATTTAGCAAGGCAGTTTTTCTAAAAATAGCCCTAAAACTCCACCTACAGCATCAAATATGAAAACATAAGAAAAACTTTATCACAATTTGATGAATGGGAGGAAATAAAGCCGAACAGCGTTTGGGCAACGAGGCGTATGAGTAGCAGCACCCACAACTTTTTTATTTAATTTTTTATGGTTTAATATTGCCGTGGGTATCGTTTGTAGGATTCCCTCTTCGCTTAACAGAAAAATTCGCCAACATAAAATTTTATTTTCATTGAGCTAAAGTTATGCAAAAATTTAATACTTTCATTGCGGCCATGTGGTATGGAAATTGTACACATATATTAGAAAGTTTATATCTACGTGCTATGCAGCGACAACTAGAGGAGCAAGCACAAATAAAACTGGCAAACAAACTTATTTATGTCGATTGTTGTTGTTGATTTCCTATGGTAATAAATATTCAATGGAAGCCTTTTATTTAAGCGCATTACAATTGTAGAAAGCTTTTTGATACCATTTAATAATCAGATTGATTTAATTAACAACAATCAAACTTAATTGCTTAAGAGCTACTCGCAGAAATTAGCTGCACATTCAATAAAATTGCAATGCTCTGATTTTCATTTTTTTTTAAACACAGCAACAACAACAACTCAGAGCAGCTGTCCAGTTTTGTGGGCGTGCCAGAGGCCTCCCATGTGTACTATGTGTATTATATATTTAATCCTCCATCAAATATTAATATGGGCAACAGGCAAACACACCACAAATAGCAGCTGGGCCACGCCCCATTTTCATGTTGATGTCGTCATTTAATCGGATTGAACTATCATTAATTTTGATTAGGTTAATGCCATGCTTATGCACATCCTGGTGGAATTGTCACCAAGGGCGTGCAATATAAATGCCATATTGATGGCCTTATTGAGAGCAGCTGCAATCAGATTCATAGCCATGGCAACAGCAATGAGAAAATGCTATTTTAATATTCATTGAATAGAAATAAGCTTTTATCAAAAATATTTTCGCAGTTTCCACATTTTATTTGAGTCTCCTCTTCCTACTTTCGGGCTAGGGGCAAAAGTTGTTTGTAAAAGTGAGAAAATAAATTTGAGTTTGCGAGCCAGCTTAGATATCGCAGCTGCCGGCAAACTTTATTTTTACTCGATTTTGATTGCTGTCTCCAACTTAGCAATTCGCAAATTACTTGCCGCACTTTAAGTTGCTCAAATGCCCGAAATTTCTGGCATTTATTCACTCGATTGCACAGCAGCTTACAAATTGCAGTTGAAGTCGCATGATTTGAACTTTCGGACAAATATATATAAATATATATATATATATATATATATATATATATATATATCTTTATATATGGCTACTAATTACCCAATTACCGCAGCAGCAGACTAAACAATAAGTAAAATTAATACAATTACTTCTTACAACGATTACCGCCGCCCGCTGGGCTACAATTATGTGTAGTCAGGCAAATAGCAGGCGCTCTCTTGATAATAATCTTTAAGTAAAGCTCTACTGCGGCTAAAATTAATTGAAGGCACTTCTGGTTAATGATGCCCCATGATATAAATCATCTTATATTTTCTGTTATTATTATATTAATTCAAAAGATTTGGTTTTATTTTTGTTTATTATCTATTTTGGCCCCCATAATATGTTCGCGAAATTAATATGGAATGGTTTTTTAGATTGAACTTAAAATTTGCTCAAAATATTTTGGAAAACAAAATAGTTTTCTATTCAAGAATTAAGTTTTCGACTGGTTACTAGGACTGTTACTAGGACAGCTATATTATAGAATTGTTATATCCGGCCAGTTCCGATATACTTTGAAGATTTTATAGCGACAGACGTGCATGGCTATATTGACTCGACTGTTGATATTGTTGTTTTGTGTCGACTGTTGATATTGTTGTTCATAAATATGTATGCATTATGTTAACAGTATCTATATCGATAATGGGAAAGACGCCAACTCTTTGAATTGCAGCACCTAATCTTGGGTACTCAAAATACTTTTATTGATTGCTATTAAATTGCTTTTTTGTTTTCCGCATGAGCTTGATAAACTGTGATTGTTATTTTCGTTGTAAAACTATTGCATTCGTTTAATATTTGAGTATTTAACATTTGATGTGACATGCGGCCTAAGGAACATTTATATTCTTCAACAGCCTGAGTAAATTTTGTTATTGAAAGATTAGTTCTAGAAACTGAATACAAAATATTATATTCTCACAGAAAACAAATAGCATTGTGTGCATTTAATTGTAATATCATGTTTTCAAATGTAAGAAAATTCTCCAAAATATCCCCTAAATAATTGGTTTCCCATTTCTTTCCTCATTCAGCTCCATTTGCTGCAAAACACTTCTGTAAATTTCATAAACTTAAGTACTTAACGCTTGGTATAAAATGTCTTCGGGCAAATTATATTTACGTTCCCCAGCACATTGCGATTGTTCTCTAAGAATAGCGTCGGGGTGCTAGAATGTCTGAATAACATGAGCCCTCCCTTAAGCAGTGTGTTGTTGGTTGGGGTGTCTTCTATTTGCTAGGAATGTGGAGAATGTGATTGCCCAAACAGGTGTCAGTTATTAAAGCACTCAAAGGGGGCTGTGCGGGACGGGATTGTACCCACACTGGAATCTAACTAACCAGTGAAACAATCAGCAAATGGCTGCCATGGGACTGTCAATGCGTATCTGAGGGATTATTTTGTTTGTTGTAGTGTTGGGTTTGTGTTTGTATTTGTGTTGTAGGCGCCTGGGGAAGCGAATTTGGAGGCGGATGCGAATGCGGTGGCTGCACCGCACAGTGGTTTCATTAGCATATAGTTGAGGCATTAGAAACTAAAATAAATAAACCGGAAAGTAAAGCGATTTCAAGTTAGTTTCCTTCCGCAAAACTTTTGTTATTCACCCTGCCAACCCGAGCCCCCTTGCCAGTTCGTAATGTGTGTGCGTTGCGGCTTGTGGCAGCTTGGAGTTTGAGTTACGGTGACCCAGGAGGTCCGGAGCGTACAAATCCTTTAGAAACAAAAAACAAACAAAACAAAAACGCAGAAAAACCGAAACGTTTTTGCTCTTGCGCCCTTTCTCACTTTCTACGCATACTTTGGCATAAAAGTTTTTCATTTCAACTGCGTTTTTCACATTTTTGCATTTCTTTTACTGTCTCCATAAAATGACTAACAAGGGCTATGTCTGTCACAAAAGAAGAGTCAGGAGAGGCCATAAAGAGTATAGATGTTCTTCAACATGTTCGTTTTTTGTCATTATTAGCCCATTGATTTCAAACAGTTTTAATGATATTTTCAAAGACTTTATTTCTTATCTTGTGGCTCAAGTATTAAACAAGTAAGAGGTTCTAGTCGGGAGCTCCCGAATAGGGGATACCCTGAACTCTCTTTTTCCAACATCAAGTGAATATATATATTCTATTTTAGAAGCTATATGTCAAGTTTGGTGAATGAAGCTCTAATTATTTACCGAAATTGCCCAAAAAACAGGATATCGATATCGATTTTTATCGATTGCTTTTAACCGGAGTAGGTTATCGATTATCGGAAACGAACACGATCTGCGCAGGCACTAGGAGCACCTACATCTTAAATTTCTTAAATTTCTTGCGTTCATACATACGGGCGGACGAACATGGCTAGATCGACTCGGCTATTGATGCTGAAGGAAATGCTTCCTTCTGCCTGTTACATACATTTGGATTTTGCACAAATACAATATACCCTTATACCCATTTTTAATGGGTTCAGGGTATAAAAATTAAACATTTTTTATCAGAATTACGTGCAGGGTATCGCTTAGTCGTACATTTGGGATTAGTTACTCGGCGAAAATGCATTTTGCATAAGCCTGCGGATTTTTTCTTTGCCAATTGCCAGTGTTGGATAGGTTTTATGAAACCTCAAGGATTTTGCGAAAGAGATCTTTGGCTCGTGTTCGCTTAGAATCGGATTGTGTTAATGTGGTGTTTGCATAAATTCTTTGACAATAAAATCAAGTTAAAACTGCCTGAAAATTAAAGAAATGGAAGTCGCTTAAATATTTGCTTTAACGTGAGAAACTATTCAGTAATTGTGAGTCTTAATCCAAATACTTTGCTTGAATAGCAAGCAAAATAATATCTACTTCACTCTCATTTGTGATTAAATCTGCATGGGTAGTAAAACGTTTGGGGATGTCCCATAAAAAGGGAGTGGAAAACAGCGTTAAAAAGGGGGATAGGAAATAATAGTGGAAAACACAGAGGTATAGAGAGAGAGAGAGAGAGAGAGAGAGAGAGAGAGAGAGAGAGAGAGAGACAGAGCAAGAGAGATAGAAAGAGGGCTAGAAGAGCGCAAAAAAGGTGATGGAGAAAGTGAAAAAGCGAGTGGGTCTAAAATACCGCTTAACAGTATGAAAGGCGAAGCCCCGCAAAGTAGGCAATGTATTTTTGTTGAAGGTGATAATATATTATGTATGAATCTTAAGCTTAATTTTATTACGCTTTGTTCGCAGGTAAGCACTCAACAATTAATTTGAATTGTTTTCAATCAATTAAGTTAAGTTTTCATTGATAGTCATCCAATTATAACTATTCTTTGCCATTAAAGGCTATGCAATGACAGCGCCATTTAGCAGAAGCTTTCCCCAGGTCACCTGGCAAACTGGGCGACTGTTAGTTGATTTTTAACAAGTGACAAAGTATTATTTTTAGCGGAAAATAATTAAGTAGACATTTCTGGAAACTAGCACTCTTTCTCCTGGTGGAACCTAAAGAGATGTGTTGCGCGCGAGTCTAAATCGTGAATAATAAGCAAGTCAAAAAAATATAGTTTTGGCGAATATGGTTTTAGACAAGCCCTTGCTAGAGGAGAAAGACAAACATGTTTGCATTAAAAGAAGGATACAAAATTTGATTGCATGAAAATTGGCATTATTTCCCTATGATTGAACTATGTTGAACAGCCTTAAATTAGGCTACATAATAGCCAAAGCATACTTATATTGCAAGCACGGGATCTCTTTAAAATCGGATGAAATTATATATACTCGTTTCGTTCTACAAAAATAAATGAATGCGAAATAACTAAAAGAGATTTCAAATCGATAAGAATGTGATTGACAGATTTTGTGTTGCGCCAGAGCCCCATTAGGTCTTACGTACATTTTGCTAAAAGCGTTAGTCGAACGTCGAGTCACCTTTTTGGAACCATGCATCACCTTAAGGAGGTAACTTAGCTAAACCAAGACTGGCTAAAGCTAGATCTCTAAAGAGATCCTGCCAATAACTTTATTATGTTTAGGCTGGTGCAGGAACAAGGAAGGGTCACGTCAACAGCAGTGCATCGATGTTGTGTGCTTCAATTGTAACAATCTTTTTCTAGTTTTACGGCACCCTTCAACCCTTCCCACTTCCCTTGCCTGACCCACCTAACACCTGAGCTAACAAAGCCAAGCTATACTTCCAACATTTTCGCGAGTACCAAAAGACATCTTCGCCTCCAAGGATATAGTTACCGCCAGTTGTTTTCAAAGTTATGAGGCCTGTGCTTCATTTGCAATTTATTTAGCCGTATAAGTTTTCTATTCTGTTAAACTTGCGAATGCGAGTGAAGTTTTTCTGCGTGTTGCATTCAACTTGCGCAGCTAGTTTGTGGCATTCTCGGGTGGACGGGCGTGCGGTTCTTTTGCTCAGTATTAAATCAACTCAATGGCATGGCATGGCATGGCATGTCGCTGCGAAAGGGTAATGACAGCAGTGGCCTAATTGGAATGCTCGAGCGGGACATTAACGAGCCGCGTGCGTTGATAACAGCGTTCCGATGTGGGTGACCAAATTGTCGGCTACAAAAGACCAAAGGAGGCGTACAATTAAAATTTATAACAATGGCCCGCGCGTCGACTGATGTTGTGGCAGTTGCAGCTACAATTTAATTGCTCCCCAAATGGCACTCGCCATTTGCAGGGCTCAATTCTCATCGTGGTAGGGGGAGGTGGAGGGTTGGCTGGCTCATAATAATGTATTAAAATGAAATTTAAATGCAGAAGCCACAAATGATGGCTATTAATTTCATTCACGCAATTATAACAACATTTTTCGGTCAGTTTAATGGCAGTATAATGTTAAGGTGGCAAGCGCTTTCATAAATCTGTTTTATATTATCCTTTCACCATGCTCTATTTGACTTCAAATAAATAAGTTTTAACTCGTCGCATTAGGGCATAGCCAGTCAGTAGAATCTTTCGACATGTGGGTCTCATGCGGGGTGCTCTTGTGGTTTTCTTGTCTATATAGAGAATATATTTCCCGAGTAAAGGTCGTTTTGTAGGATTTGTGGGATGATAATACCCTCTGTTTGACTTAACATAATGAAGAATGTTGCTTTGATTGGTCTGTTTGCAGAGCCGATCGTAATCATGATGGGCACCTGTCCATACAGGAGCTGGGACAGTATATAAATAAACGGATTGTCGAGCATATAGACATTGCCATTATGAATAATGCCAGAGAATTTCGACGCGTAGACATCGCACCTGCTGATGGGCTGATCACCTGGGATGAATATCATCGTTTCTTTCTGCGCGAGCATGGCATGACAGATGCCGACATTGATGAGCATGATGAGATCAGGCACACCTCGTTGAATCGCAAGGCGCGCGAGGATATGATGCGAGATAAGGCGCGCTGGACGGAAGCGGCGCGAACGGATCTATTTACATTGACAATTGATGAATATTTGAGCTTCAGGCATCCGGAATCGAGTGTATCCAATTTGCTGGAACTAGTGGATGATCTGTTGCGTCAGTTCGATCAGGACGGCGACGATCAGCTCACGCTGGAAGAGTTCTCTGAACTGAATGTGGATGACGATGAGGACTTGCTGCGCAAGTCTCTTATATCCAAAACCCTGGTAGAGCGTCGCGAGGAGTTCAAGCGCATTATCGATAAGAATCACGATGGCAAAGCCGATCGTGGTGAGCTCCTGAACTATGTCAATCCGAAGACACCGCGCTATGCACTCCAGGAGGCGGCTACCTTGTTCAGCTTGTGCGATGAGAACAAGGACGAATTACTTACACTTAAGGAGGTAAGCGGGCCAAAGGCCTTACAGGGGGGTTTTTTTAATCACAATAACATTTTTATTTCTGTACAGATGACTAACAATGCTGAGATATTTTTGCAATCAAAGATGATCGATACGGCTAACAGTTTTCACACCGAATTTTAATTACACTTTCTTTATAGCACATTCACTTTCTTTAAACCGTCCCCCAGTTCAATCTCACATATTCCCAGCTCACGATGTTTGTCTAAAATAACAACTATATAATCTTTGTGCATTTATAGTGATATTAATTTGTAAGATGTTTAACATTGTAATTGAAGATAAAATACACGCATTGCTATACCTACATTTATACATACATATATATATATAAATATAAATATAAAGATAGAATTAATTTTGTTAGAAGTTTATACTACGTAACCCTTAAGAGCAAGAGGCAATTCATTTAATGTGTGATTTTAAATAACAATTTTACTTAAGAATGCAAAGCAAATTGAAAAAGAATACTCCAAAATATACAAAAATAAATATACGTAATTTTGTGGAAATTTGTGTTTTCTTTACGAAATTAAGGAATCATAATAATATAATTATAGTTATGGTAACATTTCTTTAAATAAATACATTTTTCTTTTCAATGCGTAAACCTATGTGCAAATCAAATTTTACCTTCAATAATTTCCAAGACTTGCGATTGCGCTCGTAATCTGATATTAGTCGATTTAGAGTGTTGGTTTCGATAATAAGGTATACGAGCCTAGAAATCAAAATTCGAGTTTATAACTTTTCTATTCTCTTAAATCGAAATGCACAATCTCAAAGACTGGAATCGACAATATATTTATTGATTAGTTTTGGGAAATACCGATAATCTTAAAGTATCTTTAAGTGTAACTTAAAGATATAATTATAGACAAAAGACTCACACTCAGCCAGTTCCATAATTTATTATACATTTAATGCACAAGGCACACAAATATAAGAAAAACCAGGTCCAACCAAAAAGATTTTCAGATAATCTGAAATTTAATCAGACTTTACTATTTAAGTCTTTTTTATTTGCTGCTTTGTACAGGGAATAAATTCATTTTGTAGCATCTTAAAGCCGCTTAACCTATTCCTTTCTCCTCTAAACAGACAAATGAGCATCATTAAACATAATCCCATGTTCAAGTTGTTGCTGCAACAAGATGTATAAGAGGATACAAATGATAAATAAGTGGCACTCGAGTGGGAGGCCGAGGAAATGCCAGAGCCAACCTGTCCAAGGCTCAATATCTATGGCAACGTGAGAGTCAAATGCCTGCCGAAGCTTGATGAATATCCTTGAGCATTTAACAGGCAATTGACTTACTGATGAGTGTTAATACCTCTTTAATCTGCCGCCAGTGCCTTCTTTGAGAAATGATTTTAAAGGTATGGCAGATAAATTGATAGATTCGTGTATTAAGCAGTTACCGAAGGATACGTGGTCCGTGTGCATAGAACTGTGTCGAGGTGAGCATATTTTAATGCCAACAACAAAACGGAGGAGAGAGGATAAATTATGGCAACCGGCTGCTGACAATGGAAGACAGTCGAGTGGGTAATTGAATCTAATTATTCGGAAGCACAGATAATGAGCACGTAAAACGCAAGGAATAACATGAACAGGATATGCCAGACAGTCGTACAGTCGGCTATTAGGGCGTGGGTGTGGGCGTGTATAAATGTGTATCTGTGTGTGTGTGTGTGTGTGTCTGTTTGTTCATGGGCATGTTTATTTGTGCGCACGGAAACGGAAACGGCAAGAGAAACGTTTAGCTATAAAGAAAATAAGCTAACATCAATTGAGTTAAGTAAAGGCAGGCACACGCAAACTGAAATGCTTGAAAGACTGCCAAGATTCGGCTTATGGTTTATTTTTATTTATGTATTTCATTTCTCAAGTGAACCAAATATCAGGCCATGTATTACCATTAACATTTACTACTTTTTCCAGAAGGGACTGGCCACAGCCGCTGCAGCATAGCCGGTAATGGGAGCTGTGTAGACTGGCGCAGCGGCATAAGTGCTCACAGGTGTCCTGTAGATGGGAGCCGCGGCAGCATAGGTGGAATATCTGACGGGCGCCACGGCCGAGTAGGTGGCAATGGGCGCCACGGCCGAATAGGTGGCAACGGGCGCCACTGCGGCATAGCTGGCAACCGGTGCAGCCAATATGCCAGCCTGAGCGGTTGCAATGCACAGAGCCAAACAGATGAGGAATTTCATATTGGTTTGATTTGATTTCGTTTTTTTACCGATTGTTGACTTGTCGACTTGTCACTGACTGATGCTGTTTGGCAATCAACGCGACAGTTTTATAGCCAGTGTCAGAGTTTAGCTGCACGGCCGTATCGCCGTGCCCGAACCCGTTTGCGGCTTAAGTGGACCAAATCAACAGTCAAATTAGAACACAATGACAATTTTCAATTTCTGCACGGTAATGCTCAATCGATGCGGATGCCGTCAACTGTGGTGTCAATTGTGTTTGGCATATCAAATTGATTCTCAATATTCAGTTTTCTAAGCCCATCCGGTGCTATTAATTAACCAGCTTAATGCCATATGTGGTATGGTTAAAAATATCATTTGTTTAATAAAAGAGGCCGATTTGACCTCGAAGGTATGAAAATAAACATAAATATAACAGATATTACGCTACTTGAACTTTAATCGTTGGAGATACAATATCTCTAGTTCTTACTTTTAACTTTTTATCTGATCTCGGCGTTTATTTTTTAGACGTAATAAAGAATTAATTTTGTTGGCGAAGTTTTGTTTTTACTTAAGCCTAATCATTATATATATGTATATATATATTTTAAAAATTACGGTCTGTAAATAGAGACCATGCATATTCGCTTATGATCATATAAGGTAATGCCAATGTCGTTCAATGTTACAAGTTTCTCGGATAGGCTGTTTGTTAAATTGTAAACGTGTTTATAATATAAGGTGAGAATTTTAATAAAAACTGAAACCCAATTAATATATGCAATATACATGCAGAGAGCATCATCTACGACTGTCTCTAGTATACGTACGATATTTCTTTTACAATGTCTGGTTATAAATAAAATCCAGTTATAAGTTTGCGTATAGATAGGGTTACTCATAAATTGAGGAGCATAAAACAAATGGCAGCAGGCCAGCTTAACGAGCCGCAAAAAAGCTGCTACATTTTGTACATTTGGTTCCAAGAGCAGCCCATGAACTGCATTGTGTGGGTTTGTGTGTGTGTACATATATAGACTTACACACACACGCAGCACAGAGTGCGATATAAAATGAAGTCCCTGTCTGGTAGTCGTACATTTTTGCCATACAAATGTTTTGCATTATTAGGACACAGGCGAGCAGAGGCTCGAGAACGGGCACGCGTCGTAGAGCTTGGTAGTTAAATATGTTCTACACGTAAGATACATTAGTCAAACTGGTTTTGGCAGTGGAAATTAGCAGAGCATGCCAAATGAATCGAAAGGCGACAGGCACACTGTCCAAAGCGCCAATTCAGACAAGTATTTAAGAGCTGTGGCCTAAAGAAAAACTAAGTCAGTAAGCTATCAAAGATACAAGTAAGAGTGCTTCAGTTGGTAGTGCCTGGCTAGGTGATACCCTGCCAAGCTGCCGTTGCAAACGTTCGCTGTGCCTATGCCTCAGGTATTCCATATTAATTTCGGTATTTATAGACTGATCTCAAGGCTCTACTTGTGCAAATTATTTTTTTTTTCTTAATTTAGGGATATATTATATATAAGAACCTACATGCCAAGTTTGTTGTATTGTGCACTTATAGTTTTCTAGTTGTTCTTAAAAACTATGTCTCAAAATTTGTTTTTTTCGATAGTATGAAAATAGGTGGAGATATTCGGAAAATAGATAACGAGTATTCGAGATGGATGCATTCACACAGAAAGACAGACTGACTTGGCGCTAATACATAGTATTAATGGGATCAACAATGGGTTCTAGTACCTTTTACATACATTTGCACAAAATCAACATACCCCTTTCACTAATTTTTAAATGTGTTCAGGGTAGAGAATTCTAAAGAACAACATAAATACACTAGACACATACACAAATGCAACTATCTGTGAGCCTTAGTGTATATATATGTATATCTATGTGTGTGTGTGTGTGTGTGTGTGTGTGTGTGTGTGTGTGTGTGTGTGTGTGTGTGTGTGTGTGTGTGTGTGTGTGTGTGTGTGTGTATGTGTGGCTGGGTATTTGCCATAAATGCTTCATCTTCCGCTCATGCATATTCAAATCTCAGAAAACAAACTTCAACAGTTCACAAAAAAGCAACAGACAACAAACGCAAAACCAAAATATAAATGTACTAACTCAAACACAAATACCCCGTCCGGCCAGAAGGTGGGATGGATTCCAAGGGTGGCCTCATGCATTTTAAAATCCAACCATTAGAGGCACTGTGTTTTATTTGGTATGTAGAATATTATTTGAGCACGTTTTTGGCGCTTGACATTGCATTTAGCATTTGCATGCATAACTGAAATGCCAGCCAGAACACAGACCGAAAGCCAGAAAACACTCAGAAACAAACCGCCAGCAGCTGGCTTAACTCTGTAGTCTCCGACCAGAGCTCTGCTTTGAGAGCAATTAAATGTTTTAAAGTTGTAATAAAATAAATCATTTGCAATTCGCTTTGTTACACAAACCTAACAAAAAGGAGGTTTTCCTTAAATTGGCTGACAACACATCATTTAACAGGCTGCCAGAAGTTCAAGCAGCAGGCAAATGGTAATTCAAGGTAAGATTAGGCACAATGGCTGAAAGTGAAATGTTTGTGGGTAGCACTGATAGCCATGGCCACAATAGCCATGCCCTATTTATTATATTTCAATTTAGGTTTATTTAATATCAATTTATGCAGACTAAGGAATTCATGTCACTTTAAGTTTTGGTAAAATTTAACAAAATCAAATAATATAATCTCCGGTAAAACAAAAACTAATGATAATAAATATACAATAATAATAATCCGAAATGCAGGAGCTCTTAATTTGAATGTTTAATAAATTTCTGAAATTCAGATATACTTGCCTAATTGAATTTGCATTGATTGCTGAATATTTCTCGTATTTTTAGTTAAATTTCAACAATTTTTTGCAAATCCCAATTGAACATTGGTAGGCAATAAAAGAAGTTGTAATCGATAAATGGCAATGAATAATTTTGCACATTTCGCTGTTGATTTTTGGCAGAAATCCCAAAGCTTAATATATATTACTTATCTTATTTTTGAAGTCTTTTTGTCTGGTGGGTGGCCATTGTACGGGGACCTGGAGCAAAAATGACAATAAAAGGTAATTTGGTAGTAACAACTTGGAGGCAAACACTTAACTAACTTTGTGAGTGTCTGCGTGTGTGTCCGTCCAGGTCCTTGTCCTCGATTTGAGCTACAGGGGGCAGTCCTCGAACTTTGCGCATAATCATATATGTGTGTGTAAACTCATTCACATATATGAAAAGTAAAAAGCAATTTTCGTAACATTTGCATGCCTTCCACTAACACACATGCACGCACAGACACAGACACACACAGGAAGCATCCAGAGAAAAGCAGGCAAGGACACGCGGCCTACCTTAGCACGAAGTGGCAAAAACTACGATAATGTGTGTGGGTGTAAGCGAGTGGCAGTGTGGGTGTATGTGTATGTGTGTGTTCGGGTAAGTTGAATGGAGTACGTGTTGTGCTGAAAATGCAATTTGCCTTCTGTGCGAAAAGTACGTAAAATTTATGCAAATTTTCCCTTACTGCCCCTGGCCCAAGAGTGTTGGTGATGGCGACTCTGCAACAAGCGGAAACAGGAAATGCGCCATTGTGTGCGTACTTTCGTATGCATGCATGTGTGTGTGTAAGTGTAAGTGTATATGTATTTAGTGCGCGCTAAAATGAAAATGTAGTGAAATATGTGATAGAACGGCCAACGAAAAAATATGTAAGCACAAATAAACTACATATACTCGACCTCAAATTTACCCTTCATCAAATTGGGCATGGCAAATATCTAGAAAGCATCGCACGTAAAAAATCAAACTTTTTCTTGAAGGTCTTCAAATAACACATCAGTATTAGTTAGGGCCTCCAGCTCTGTGCCGTGCTCTTCGGTTTGCCTAATTATGTTGGCTCGCTTAGCCAAACAAACATGAATTCCAATATTATTGACAAATCCAAATATTTTGTTACATTTTTGATGAGCTATCAAGTATGTAATTTAATTGGACGCTTCTGTCCCAAGGCTGTCTTAAAAAGTCTCGGAATACTTTTATTTCTGTCAAACGTTTACTTTGCACCAGCCGAAAGCCCCATCTTTAGTTCGAGCAATGGCACTCAATTCGGTCAAAAATATATTTAAGCTCTTAAAAACGATTCGCTTATGGAGTAAAGTCCTAATACCCCGCCAATGTATTATGCAGTCGTGTACAGCTTGGATTCATTTGACCGGCACAGGGTATATTAATATCCAATAAGCATGGGTGCGAATGCAAAAACTAACGGGACAACAAACGCAACAACAACGTCAACAACAGCAACAGCAACGACAACAATAACAGCTCCAACAGCGATACCAACAACAAGGCGTAAATTCGCCATCGATAGTTTTTGACATTATGTATACGCCGCGTGCGGCCGTGTGGTGTGTGCGCGTGTGTGTGTGTATTAGTAGTGCACTATGCGACGGCTTTTGTAAAGCAACAAAAACGGAAAAATGGAAGAAGAAAAAAACAACAAAATATTGTTTACTAGCAGCAGGGCCAATGGGCAAAGAAAGGTCTGCGCAAAATGAAACGCCGTCGGTTAGTCCAGCATCATGTACGTGTGTGTGTGTGACTGTGTGTGAATGTATGTGATATTGTTTGTACTGTACAACACGTGCCTTTGACATGTCCGCCTGGCCTCTATATCGGCATATGTGTTTGTTGTTTTTATATGGTTGCGTCTGCGTTTTGGCTTATGGGCAAAGAAGTTGAAGCGTATTAAAGCAAACAGCGCCTCCGGCAAAGCAGCGCGCTCCCTTTGTAGTCGCATGCAACACACGTGTGTGCCCCCGAACACCACCCAGGGGGAGTGACAGCGACGGCGGCTCAAGTATGTTTGTGCGTTGGCTACGCGCCGTGAGATAAACGACAGCATTTAATGCGTCCAAATCGCTTTAATGCCGCATCAAGCCATTTTTCAATCCAGATCTGAGCATTAAGATTAAGTTGTC